GGGAGTCGATGGAGTGACAATGGAGTGGTGGGCGTGGGAGTGAGAGAGTGAGACTGAAACTAAAATTGATTTGGAAACCTAGGTTACAACTTAACAGTTCAGATTGGATGATAGATTATCATTCAATCTCGACTGTTGATTATAATTGGAAACGAGTAGGTCTGGGGCCCCGTTTTTCTAAGGTTTAGGAACCGGCCCGCCCCGTAAATAACCATGGCCCGACCTGGCACGCCCTGTTTGTTCCCAAAAAAATAAGACCCGGCCCGTACCCACCCCGAACCTACATTACCCGCCCCGACCCACGGTTTCTCTACTCGTTTGCCCACCCCTAGTCTGTTTGTTTCCCTTCACTAGCCCTCTCTGGACTAGACTAGACTAATAGTTAGTCCAGTCCCATGTTTGTTACTTCATGGGACTAGCTTTAATGGGAGTAAGCCGAACTCGCCTCGACTAAGGACTGTGCTAGACGGTTTTAGCGAGAGACGTCGCGAACCATGGGTCTAGCTAATCCCTTCGATTGTTCTTTGCTCGCGTTCTCTCCTTGTCCTCAACCCTGAATCATGAACAAAGACCTCGATTCGAACTTCAATCGGAGAACTCACGAGCTCTATCGTCCGATTCACCTCCGCTCAAACCAAGATTATCGGTCGTGCCCTCCGATTAGGCTCCTTCCTCCTAGATGTCAATTTTCGACGGCAAGGACTTCGGGCTCCGTCCTCCTTGACTTCTTCCATTGTTACCTTTGCTCCATTTTGCCCCTCACATCTCCTTCTTCCCTATTTCCCACAACCAGAAAACCCATAAAAATTGAACCTAGAAAACCCATAAAAGGGAAAGGGGAAAGAGACAGTGGCATAGATAAAATGGCAGAGAAAGATGAGAGGGGAGGGATGTAGTGGGCGGACAAAAAAATGAGAGAGGAAGATGAAATGGCAGAGAAAGCGGAGAGGGGAGGGATGCAATGGGCAAACAAAAAAATGAGAGAGGAAGATGATTCTAGAAAGGAAAATGATAATTTAATAATAAAATATTAGTGTATATATATATAGATTAAATTAACGATAAAATATTGTAAATATAAATTTAATAATATAATATATGAGTCCTGCTTTTTAGTTCGACACAGCATCAAACGCTTCACTAAATCAGTCCAGCTTAGTTTATTCTAAGCCAGTCCAACTTAGTTCCTGAAGCTAGTCCAGTCCGAGATAGTCTGGTGCAACAAACACACCCTAAATATACCTCAAGGGATAATAATTTTTTGGTTCGGGACCATTCTGAATCTCATTTATTAACTAATAAAAAACTGTTGTGTTATCTGTTTCATCAGTTAATATTAAAAGTTACATGAAAACTAGTACCGATCAACAATACTTGGTACTTAGTCAATATTTAATCGATATTTGATTGACCTCAATGAAGTTAGTCTAAGTGTAAATTGGTATTACATTCCAGACAATCAATCTTCTACACGTACAAACATACGAAGAAACATTGCTGCCACTTCTGCTTACTGAATCTCAGTTCAATCTGGGAAGCCACTTTGCTGATATTCTCAAACTCGTTCTTATGGGTCTGGGTTGGTTTTTGGATTTTTTTTTTCTTTCTCTTTCCCAGTGATATTTTAGTTAATTAGTGCGTCAAACAAAGAAGTTGGACACATCAGCAGAGATAGTATTTAATTGGGCTATATCCGTCATAGGTTATCTTCTGGACTGAGCCCATGAACATATCGTAGTGTATATATTTATTTTGAGGTTATTTAGCTAAAAACCAATTAAAACTTTTTTTTTTAACAAATGATATTATCTAGTCTAAGGAAAGGGGATGAGTTTAGCCTATAATAGACTAGCAATAATGTGATTCATTTTTGTCTTTGGCGAGAATCAAACCTAAGACCCCTTACTTACAAGTAAAGAGGAATATCACTAGACCGTAATTGCAATTAAAACTTTATTAGCCATATGTCAATAGCCTATTTTTGTTTTGGACCTTATCAAGAATATATTTTTATTCATTAAGCATATATCAATGATGAATGCCATATGAACTTTAGCCCATTATAAATAGTTAGAACATAACTGTCCTTTTCTCTTTTTCTCTCTCACAACAACAACAACAAAGCATTTTCCCACTAAGTGGGGTCGGCTATGTGAATCCTAGAACGTCATTGCGCTTAGCGCGATTTCGTTCTGGATTCATTTTCATAAGGATTCGACGTAAACTAGGAGTGCCGGCTGTCGACTACCTGATGCCCTCCCCCTCCTCCTTTATCCGGGCTTGGGACCGGCAATGTAAGATAAACTTACACTGGCGGAGTTTCTTTTTCTCTCTCAAATTAGGAAAATCTATTATCGGCATGAAGGTATGTTACAACTGCTGTATTGAGCTGTTTTGGTATTTCATTTGGATGCTGCGGATCTTCTCACGATAGAGTTACTGACAGATTGGTCCTCTTGGTGGTATCTGTCTCATCTCCAGAATTTTTTTTTTTTTTTTTTTTTTTTTGTGGCAAAATTGTACCTTGTGCTAGGACTAGGCGTAGGAGCTGTTAATGGAGGAGGAATTCAGGTTGTTCCAAAAAAAAAATAATAATAATAATAAATTGTTGCTTGGATTGCTGATATGGAAACAATTTGTTCGAAGCAGGGGGAATAATGATCTTGATATAAGAGTTGATAGATTGTTGGATTGCCGTCTCAGTCAGCAGGGTTGGACTTCAGACTTGCATCTATACAAAGGCACAGATTGCAGACAAAGTTCCAAAAAGGCTTCACCGTCTCATACTCTTAAGCTGTATACTTCGGAAGGCTAGTAGAAGAGTATTAATAAGGATGGTAACAGAAAGCAAACAAATGTGGATTAAAATGCATCATATACCTCCTTAGTTGAGTCATATGGGTTCCCAACAATGGTATGCCATGCAGCTGCATTAAGTCCTTTACTACTATTCATTGATGAATTGGGGCAATTTTTGTAGAGTTTGGGTTTCATTTTTTTGTTCCAACCGTATACTTGGTATCCAAGCATATTGTCGAGTGGGAGTATTAAGTGATGTGTCACTATGTGATGTGTTTGATTTAGTGATATGTGACATCATCTTGTGCATTAAATTAGTACAGTTATAAGTGTATAAGTAGTATGTTTGTATAAGTAGTTTATAAGCTGTATGTTGTAAAGAACAATCATTCAATCAATAGCGAAAAAGCACATTCATCTTCTTTATTTTCCTCTTCAGTTCTCTCTCTCTCGTTCACCTTTCTCAATTCTCATCGTTGTTTGATTTTCTTTTGAATGTAGTTAATTAGAGATGCTTCCTACGAAAGTATTCACAAACCACCCCTAAGTCATGTTCGATAAGTCCATTAACGTACATTAGGCCGGTTGAGAGGGGACATGACATTGTATTGACAGTAGACGTACTTATTGGCATATAGTTGCGAGCTTGACGTGTGATTAGATTGTAGCCAAACATTGTGTCAAAACCTGCTTATCTGCACGGCAATCTGATGGTAGTATAGTACATTCCATGCATTCTCTTTCTGTCGGCATATTCGTCAGCTCGATTCCTCATTTTTTCACATCCAGACATGGTAATATTACATCAATCACCAAGTACTGGACCAACCAATCAGTTAACAAATGAAACGCATGGCAACATGAACCAATCTCTTAAATTCCTAGAGCCAAAGGAAATTAATTTACACCTTAATTTTTAAGGAGAAAAATTAATGAAAATGGCTTGAAAACTTTGAGTTTTAACGATAAAGACAAAATAAATGATAAAGTGAATAGTACTAGAATTGACTTTTTAGTGTAAAAATGTGGTTTTTCGTTAGAGTGAACAGTACATATAGTTTTTCACTAAAGTTCCCTAATTTTTATTCAGCATGGCAAGTGCTCCATTATTCTCACCTTCATTGGCTCCCAACGAGTCTGAAAACGATGAACCTCTCCCCTCCATCAGTGACTCAAGGTTTGGTCTCCACGGGGAGATTATGATGCTGGTTCTGATCCTGCTATTCGCCACCTTGGTCATTGCTCTCTTACTCTTTCCCTACACAAGGGGTACTTTTCCTGGTCGTTTACATCATGCCGATCATGGATCCAGTTTGATGGATGCTTATAGCTTGCCATGGTAATGGGTGTGGCAGAAATGTTTATTTCCATCTTCTGATATGGCAGGGAACAAGTTCAGAATAATTTAAGGATGAAATTTTAGCAAGTTATTAGTTCTTTTATGCCCATCTTGATTTGATTGTAAAATTATATCCTTATCCTTACGTATTGCCATTATAAGCTGGGTTGATGAGTTCATATAATACCATATATTTTACCCTTATCTTAGTATTAATATATTAGTTATTTTGGTAGAATTTTGATATTTTGGTATATATTTTCAATGTAAGATATTCGACTTCATTTGGAGCAAAAAGTGATCAAACGGATGAATTTTGGAGTGATTTCAATTAGAGGATGTTCATGAGTCTTTCAAGATGATTGTATCAAAGCTTCAGATTTTTCTACCAAGTCGTTTGACCGTGACAATGAAATAAAGGCCCAGCGCACAGTTTTCCCAGATTGACGTTTTTTTACGTTTTGGGTATTTTGGAGGTCAATATGACATATTTTGTGGAAGATTCCTTCTGAGAAGTCTGAATTTTAGTTCAAATAGGAAACCTTTTATTTTCTGTTTTATTATTTTATTATGTTTCATAGTTTCATTCTAAGATCTTTTAGGGTTTTATTTTGTAGCAGTATAAATAAGGTTTTTTAGCCATTAGGGCATTTTTTTTATGCAAGAAATAGGGGGAGAGAACATGCACACTACTTTAGAGAGTTTTGGAAGTTTATTTTCAAGGTGTTTTCTTTCTATGTTCTTAATAATTTTTTGTTTTATGATTGTTCGTAACTAAGTTCTTTTGCTAGGGCGAAGTCATGAGCCTTAGTATAAACTAGCAGGAATGCCCGCGCTCTGCCGCGGGATTTGAAACCGTCTCTACCATCAACCAAAATAATTCTATAATTTAAACCATCCAAACTTGTTTAACATAGTTTTTTGTCTATCATTATATATTTCCTCTCACAATTTTTATGGAATAAAAATCTAAACATTAAAAAATTTAAACAAAATTTTGCAAATAATCTTGCATTTAAGCACGTTCAAAACCAGTGGCTCTTTCAAATTTTTTCTAAACAAAGATAAGGAAAAGTGTTCATCACTGATATTGTGCATCCAATGCACTGGTTTCTTGTCCACCTTCTCCTCCAAACCCTTTCATCAATAACCCATCTCATTATGTCCCTCAGAGACTCGAAACTCAATTCCAACGGTCCATTTAACACCTCCTAATATCAATTCCTAACAAAGTAAATACAAACGCAAAATCAGCAATGCTTTCAAATATTTTAAAGGGAAAGTGGGAAAATATTATCAAGAAAGATGCAAACGAAGTATATTCATCACTGATATTGAAGAGAAAACGAAGTGTATTAGTATATTCATCTTTCCCCATTCCTTGTAAAGTTGAGGAATTTTTTTCTTAACATCTGAACAAAAAGTAAAATAACGCTAACACACTCAATTACAGCACACATAAGCTCGTGAACAAATTATCATTTCCAAACTTCCATGAGAGTTTACTAATCATAAATCTATGTAGAAGTTGAAATTCAATCCAAAATAAACATCAGGCACATCATCAAAAAAACCAGCAGCACAACTACCCTATTGAAAAATGTCTATTTCACAAAAACATTTAATGAATATTTTACTTCAGAAATTTCTGCAAACCACAATTGAACACACCGATCTCTATATAATTCAGGAACCAATCAAAGCAGTTGAATACACATGGTAAAATAAATGTTTCAGTTTGATTTTGTATTCTATAAACTTTACATTAACGAAATACATTTAGGGATTAGTACTACAATGACATTGCTCCAACATCAATTACAAATCTTTTGAGAACAAATAAACAGAGTAGTGAGAGCTCGTACCCGAAGTGAGGCATATGATCACACCTCCTCAAGTGCCCAAGAGTAACTGAACGGCGGCACAGCCCCTACAAAATGTTTTTTTAATCGATTCGGTAGTTAACACTGGCCAAATGCACAATACATATCTTAGAAACTATTGTCAGTTAACTTCTAAAGAAGTTAGAGCAAAAATTACCTCCAATCTTTGTTTCTCTTGTACTTTGGTATTGTGAGGAAGTCATGTAAGCCGAAGAATAAAAAGCCTTTTTTTAGTTAACTAAAAAGCACTTGTAAACGGAGTGAGATATCTAGTAACCAAAAAATGAATCTTGGAAAGCAGACATAAACAAACTTCAATCACAATTACTTTAATACATTTGGATATCGAGGAAAATTAGATTTATTCAATTTCGATATAAAGAAAATTAATTAATGCAGGTACAACATTTGTGCCTCAATGACGCGAGAAGTACTCAAAACAAACATTGTTTTCTTTTTGTCTTTAGGAAATCTCTGCAAATTGCAATGAGTTCTCTAACTCATATCCATTGAGAATCATATTAACTAATTAACTTACTAACCCCTCCTGTTAGTTTCACACTTATGCTCCAAACAGATTTTGTAACTAATATCCCAAAAAAGGGGTAAAAAAGGGAATAAAAAAACCTTTGTATGGTATACTGCAGTGTTATCTGTATAAGCGAAGTTAAGCCCTGAAAGGCCAGCAACCTCATTGTATACTTGGAAACCTCTTGCAGATTTTATGGCTCCAGAAGAAAATAGATCATGCAACATTAATATCATTAAGACTAAAGTATTTTTTTCCAAGTGAATACACATGAAAAGTATCAAAAAGAGAGAAAGGAGAAAAAATTAAATAAATAAGAACTGCACACCTGTCCTATAATTTGGCCAGATGAGCATTTTGCTACCGAGGAAAAATTCTCAGTAGCCCAAGCATCAGCCTATCAGATGAAGAAATATTCATAAGGGAAAAAGTAAGCTTAAACAGGATTTCATATATATGAACTCACTCTTTAATTACTCGTCCTATTACCAAATAGCTATTGGAAATGGTTTGAGTTATAAAACCTGACTCTATACAGGCCTGATTCTTATCAAATAGCTCTCGAAATTTGATATGCAAAAACTGAAACAAAGAAATAGATCCCAATCTCATCCCACGACGAACAATGAACCAAAGTTACATGAACAAAAACAATGTCAACATTTCAAGCTGTGCAAAATTAAACCCATATGGGAAAGCACAAAGTCATACAAACAATCCTGTCTCATTCAAAATTCCAATACTCGATTCTAAAGAATAAAGGAAGCAATAGCACTCAAAATAAGGAATACCGAGGGCAATGGCATTGAAAATCAATAGTTCGCAAGTCTCCAACCAGCATAGCAAAATGCAAAGAGAGCAAAAATCTCCAACTCTCCAACCAACCTAACAAAATGTCAAAAATCAAAATGCCTTATGGCATTAGTACAACACAAAGTTCAAAATATTAGCAATAAATTTAAAAACGCCTTATCTAATATCATTGAGGGTATAAGTTGGAAGATAAGACAAAAAACGAAAAGGGGTTGATGCAGGCAGTATAAAAAGCATAAGAAAGGAAAGATACCCAAAATCCATCACAAATCATAGTGAGAATTTGTGTTATAGCAACCTTAAATTCAAAAAAATTCTCTAGTTTTCCATGTTTTCTCATCAAACAAACAACAAATTCATATAAAATCAAAAAAGTAAAATTACCAGCAGCAGCGTGCTCCGGGGCTCATATGACGGCGTTCCTCCACCAGCAACGACATCGAGATTGCTTTCTGAGGCAAGGATTACATAGGAAGTCCGTAAAATTCATGGACATTTGCAAGAAAACAAAAACCATCGAAAGTCAGAGATTTCCAAAACCAAAAAGAAATGAGAGAGAGAGAGAGAGATTGGAGTACTGTAAGTGTATAAACATATTGGGAAAAAATTGCACGGCAATTACTACAATCTGAATAAAAATTCCACTGTTTATTACACAGTGCTTTGGAATTGTGTAAGTAGAGAAAGAATTGGAGTTCTTACAAAGTTTTGGCGAACTGAATATCAGCTTCGAGCACCTTGAGAGATTCATTGAAGAACTTCGCTTAACATTTATCAAATGTCAGTAAATTCTGTAACGTACATGGAAAAATCCAGAAAATTAGAGATGAACAAAAATAAGTGAATCCGACGACCGTAATTTTGAAATATCATCTATTTGCTAATACGACCTTTTTCCATCAAAACAACATAAACCCCAAAGAAAAAATGGAAATTGGGAACGACCCATAATCTGAAAATTTGCAAAAATTAACAGAACCAGATGAAATATGAGAGAAAGAATTGGAGTTCTTACAAAGTGTTGATGAACTTTCAGAGAAAGAATTCGATTTTCCTGATCGTTTTTACTCTTTTCTCATCCCTCCCATAAAAAATCCTAAACACTCATCACTCCACCCACCTCAAATCCTCTCTCTCTGAATATAGAAAAAATATACAACCCTTTCTCTCTCTGTAATCTGAAGAAAAATGTGATCAAAATTTTATAAAATTGGTTTTTTGGTTTTGTAAAAGTGCGGACAGTTAGAAGGGAATTTGTAGAGAGAAGAAGGGTAACCTTTTCAGTAGATGGGAAGCAAAGCCATATATGTAACTCGATTCGTTCAGAACCAACGATCATCCACAAAACTTTGACTTACACAAAAACCGATTCAAAAAACCAAAACAGATACCCAAAATTATAACCAAACAATCAAAACCCACATTAAAAAAAATCATATAACAATGCTTTCACAGATAAATCTCTAAAAAAACCCCACAAACCCCCAAAAAAAAAATCATGCAAAAATCTCACCACAGGGTAAGTCTAAAAATGTCAATTTTCATGCCACGAAATTGTGATACATTACAATCTAAAATCACACATACACATATCATGCATACACATACATCGAGTAGCAAAGGTTTCACTGTAATTTACCAAATCATCCTAATAATTCAGCCTCCAATTTCATGCCCGAACAAAAGAGCGGAAATTAATCACCATGTTCTTTAACTGAAAAATAAAAATTGGGGTAAGCCCAGTTCTCACTTCTAGCAGAGTTCACTCCATCTAAATGCTCATCCAACCAAAAAACAAGAAAAAAAATTGAAATTTCAACTTCTTTGCTGCCTCCTATATTTTATTAGCATTCAAAAAGTCCTTAACTTGGAGCTTTAGAGCTTTGGAGCTAGGTTTTCAAAACGTGAGCTTGTGAGTGCAAGAGAGTGAGAGAAAGAGGGCATACCTGGCCATGGGAGAGAACGGAGCTATAGAAAGAGCTAAGCTCGGCTTCTCGCCGACTTGCAAAAATGTAAAAGCACAAACAGAAAGGAGAATCAAAGACAAAATTCCAAGATAAATTCCAAAAATTCAAAATTATACGCGAGAGAGAGACCTTGTTGATATTCGGAGTTAGACTCAGAGAGACGAAGCTCCGAGTTACAGAAATGGAGGCCAGGTTTGTGCGGTTTTGGTTTTCAGAAGCAGGAGCCGACGCTATTGCAGAGATCGGCTAGAGTTGGTGTTGTTGCTGCTAGGGTTTGAGAATGAAGGCCAAATAGGTGTGTTTCTGTCTCTCTCCCATCCCTCTCAATCTCTCAATCACCGACACCAACCCTTGATTTGAGGAGAAAAAATCAACCCTAACCCCCTTTTTTGGCAGCCTCACTCCTCCCTGTCCCTTTCCTTCCCTGCCATCCCACGCCTATACCCCTCTCCGTCTCTGCAACCCACGTCTCTCGAAAATGGCAGATATGTAAATAATGCAAGGGCCCATCTCACAACAAAACTGGCAAAACTGTAAATATCTTGAAAGCTGTTCAGAGACAATATTACCCTTCTAATTTTATATAATTACCCTCCAACTCAACCACATATACGATGGTAGTGGCGCAAATAAAGCAAAATCAAAGGGCAAAAATGTGACTGTAGCTAAGCTACAGTCAAATCCCTCCTCAATTTTAGAATAGATAATATGTGATTTTATTAATTTGCTTATGAACGGATGCATGCTTGCTTTGAATTATTAATCACTGCGATTAAAACTATCTAATTGTCTTAGTAATTCGCGACCATTAGGGTTTTTAGACAAGTAATTTGATGCAATTTCTGTTGGAATATCACCCTGAAATTGAGGAGGGCTTCTTGTGATTAGTAATTGTAAGTTCACTTAAGGTGAACATCACACTCTTAAGGGTTACATGGTTTTTCAAAGGGTTTTCACAAACCTTAATGACTCTTGCATGTTTATATTTGATCTGAACATTACTAACGGGTTGCATGATAGATATATGTTTTCGCTTGAACATCACGAGGAAAATATGCATTAGGAAAACCTAACATTCAAAGCATGTGTGAGGAAATTCATAAATAATTGGTAAAATTGTGTAGGATTGTTAAGGGATGGCACAACCCTATGCTTTTACAAATTGATTTTCTTTTAAATTGTTCTCTAGTTAATTTCTTTAATTCTTTAATTTTAAAATTCGTTTTTATTATATTCTATATATACTAAAACTCAAACCTCGGGTGGTACTGTTCTAGGACTGTGTGCGGACCAAAATGCCTCTTAAATTGGTCTTCCCGGCGTTTTTTTCCTACTCTTTGCACAGCAAAATGGCGATTTTGCCCAATTTTCTTTAGCCCATTCTCTGTTTTGGTTTTTCTGTTATCTCCGCTTTACGCTCGCTCTTCCTCTCGGGTTCTTTGTTGTTCTTCGCTATCTTTGGTTTGGAATATATTGGGCCAAGTTTCAGATTTTCCTGCTTTAGGGGATCGTGTTTGTGGTCTATGATTTGAAGGAGGTTCTCCATTTGTATAAACCTAGGGTTTGGGTGTTTTGTCCTCCGTGGTAAAATTGCTTCGCACAATTTCTGGGGTTGCGATCGACGGTGAATATTTTGCGATGTTTGCATTTGTTTCCCTCTGTTCTTCACCGATATTGGCCGGATCTGTTTCCGGATTTGTTTTTGGTTTGACGGAGGGAAATCTATTTTTGGCGATTTAGGTATGTGCTGTGTTTGGTTTTTGTTTGAGTTTTGCTTGATTTGGATGAAATTGTAACCATTTTGTTTTGGGTTGGTTCTGATCCTGTGCTAGGTTTTCCTCGCTGAGAGGATATTTTGCATTTTGGTTCCTTCGTTGATCAGTCGCAAATTTGGCAGTGTCTCTGGCGGTCCTCTTATTTTTTGGGTAAATCTCCTTCCGCCAAAAACAATTTCCTTGCTATTTTTACTACTTCGTTCTCCTTCTTCTTCTTTATTATTATATACCTTCTGTTTATTTAACATGTTTGTAAGATTGGTTTATCATTTATGTATGTTTTTATACAATTGTTGCATATTTTACATGTATATGCTTCACTTTTATCAAGTACGTACTTGAGAGATTGGTAGCCTAATTTTTGGGTGAGTTTTTGTCATCGTTTTTTTGTACATCTGGGAACCCGTCGATAAGTGTTAGATTAGACTGTGTTTGTAATTTTTTGGAACAAATCAGAGGAATGATTGGAGTTTGGGTAAATTTGATGTTAGGTTAAAATTTCTTTGTAATTTTAGTCTGCTGTGCATTACCCATTCGGAAATCACGCTTGAGCAGTGGTGTTGCACCATTGTGCTATTGTGCAAAGTTCCAAACCAGCGGAAAAAGATCGCTAACACTTTGTTTAGACAGAACCGTTTGTTTTGGCCAAAATCATAAAGGAAAAAAAATACTTTTAACCAAATGGTGTGTTTTCTTTCGTCTTTGTCCATTTTGCCTAAAACATTTAACCAGAACATGACAATTTCACTGAAAAAAAATCCCATTTTCCTACTTTTGAATGAATTGAGCATAGCATTTTAAGGCTTTGTATAAAAGATTATATAAGCCAACTAAGAATCCTATTTTTTCCTCCTTTTTCAATGAATCAAATATGTTATTTCAAATTAGTACCTCAATCTTCTTTCTGTTGTTACAATTAGTGGGTTAAGTGATGTTACAGATTTGTTTATGTTTCTGTGGAGATTTTATCTTTTTTTTCTTTGGAATTCTCCGCATATCAATATCAGGGTAGAAAAATCTCTACTGCGTGTGAATTCGGATTAGAATTCTTCGGCACTTAGCTGATTTTTGTTTATCAAATTGACTGGCCATTCTATATATTTGTAAGTGGTTTTGCCTTTGTATAAAAGATTATATAAGCCAACTAAGAATCCTTTTTTTTTTCTACTTTTTCAATGAATCAAACATGTCATTTCAAATTAGTACCTCCATTTTCTTTATGCTGTTAAAATTAGTGGCTTAAGTGATGTTACAGATTTGTTTATGTTTTTGTGTACATAGACAAACCCGTTCCTGCAAAGTTTATGTTACTAATTTGTTTCAACATCTCAACATTTGTTCATTTGATTTAAATATTCTTCTATAACAAGTTAAAACTTTATTTTTTCAGTACCTTATCACAAAATAATTCCACCTTGGACAAATTACAAGGTATGCTACAATCAATGCTTTCATAAATTGCATTCAAATTTATTCACTTAGGAATGCATTGGAACATGTTTAGTTTCATGCCCGCAGCATCGCGCGGGTACCATTGCTAGTTAAATTCTAAAATCAACATTTTCCAAACTTTGTTTTAAATAATTAATTAAGAATTAGTTTAAATACAAATTATTCATTCAATCCCTATGGAAAACGACTTTACTTGAGCTGCCATTGTAACATCCCACATCGCACCAGGAGAGTGATCCTTAAATGTATATTCTCATCCCTACCTAGCATGAGGCCTTTTGGGAGCTCACTGGTTTCGGGTTCCTTCAGAACTTCGAAGTTAAGCGAGTAACACGCGAGAGCAATCCCATGATGGGTGACCCATTAGGAAGTTCTCGTGTGAGTTCCCAGAAACAAAACCGTAAGGGCGTCGTCGGGGTCCAAAGCAGACAATATTGTGCTACGGTGGAATCGAGCCCGAGATGTGGTGGGGGTCCGAGCCGGGATATAACAATTTGGTATCAAAGCCAATCCCTGGCCGGAAGTGTGCTGATGAGGACATCGGGCCCCTAAGGGGGGTGGATTATAACATCCCACATCGCCCAGGGGAGTGATCCTTAAATGTATATTCTCATCCCTACCTAGCATGAGGCTTTTTAGGAGTTCATTGGCTTCGGGTTCTATTGGAACTCCGAAGTTAAGCGAGTAGCGCCCGAGAGCAATCCCATGATGGGTGACCCACTGGGAAGTTCTCGTGTGAGTTCCTAGAAACAAAACCGTGAGGGCATCGTCGGGGTCCAAAGCGAACAATATTGTGCTACGGCAGAATCGAGCTCGGGATGTGGTGGGGGCTCGGGCTAGGATGTGACAGCTATACTACGACAACCTTGTTCTCTTGCAAGTATTTTTATGTGTTTTTTATCCCTACTTTTGTAAGTGCTAAAAATCCTATCATGGGTCATTTGATATTCATGAACCAGATTGACGGGGGTGTTGAAATTTTTGGTTTAATTTATAGTTTTATTCTCTACAACATGAAATTTTTGGTTTAATTTATAGTTTTATTCTCTACAACATGAGTTGTTAGGGAGGGGTGGTTGGAAAATGAATAATGAAATTTTATTTACTTAGAGATTTTGTTTTATGTTATATTTTTTAAGATCTAAGTTCCCTTATCCTAAAATTTGGTTAAAAGAAGAGTTTAAAAAAAACTCATCGGAGGCTCTCTACGTTTATCCCGAACCTTAGAAGAGTGACGGCTGTCAAACGGAAATCGTTGGATTTCGTAGACTTCGCGGTGGCCTGGGATCAGTGCGACGTTGTGGAAAGGTCTAGTGCTTAGAAGAGATGGTGCAAATTTCATGGTGTGGGGACGACTTCGTAGAGGACTAGTGCGGTGTTTTCTGGTAGGAGCCAGTACTTGGGCCTTGGTATCGAACACCTTGTTGGCTATGGAGGATTTGATGACGAAATTCACAGGTATCACGGAGGAAGACAAATTGATTGTTGTTAATCAGAGGGAGGCTGTAACACTGAAGTCATCGAGATTTTTTCTTGTTGGAAGGGTTCTTTCTCACAAACTGGTGAATAAGGAAGGTTTTAAACGACATATGAGAAATCTGTGGCATCCTAAAACGAATGTGGCCGTGATGGATTTGGAAGATAATCGATTTGTTTTGTTCTTTCAATCCCATGCAGAAACGTACCACTATTTTACGTGGAGGGCCATGGTTGTATAACAAGCAGTGCCTATTGGTGCTAGGAGAGGCAGATTCGCTGACATACCCTGCTCGGATTCTTTTGTTCTTTCAGGAATTTTGGGTGCAGTTTAAAGGGATACCCTTATGCTATATGACTCGGCATATGGGAGAATTTCTAGGAAATATATTGGGAGATTGCATCCTCACGGATCAAAGTCGCAAGGATAAATTATTTGGGAGATTCTTCGAGTGCGGGTGCTATTGGATGTGAGGAACCCATTGCGAAGGTTTGTGAATATTCAACTAGAGGGCAAGCAGATACAAATTGATGCCAGGTATGAGAAATTACCCCTCACATGCTTTCTCAATGGATTGATA